CTAATGTAGCACTCTTAAACACGGCCTTTCCAGGGCTTCAACTGGATGCCTAGGGTTATGATGACCTGGTTGTCCTCTGACTGGTGGTAATTCCATGTTATTCCTCTGTTATCTCTGTTCAGCCCTTAGGGTCCTGTAGCCATTTGATGCTATGCTTCTGTACTTGTACAGCTTAGCATTCAAGCAGAGACCTGCATGAAGAGCTCAGAAGTTTCTCTGTATAGCACCTTTCTTTCCTATGTCCTTTCCCACAAATTCTAGCTCCTCTACAGCCCCCAAACCTAATATGTTTTCTCTACCTTGCAAAACGTCCACTCTCTCTTTGGGCTCCAATTTGCTAGGCCAGTATTTGGAAATTCCATAGTCAGAAAATTGAGCTAATTGTGAGGCTCATCTTGTACTTTTATCTGCTCTCAAAGATCACAGTACTATATTGTTTTTTGTCCAGTGACAAAAAGTTTTGCTTCATATACACTGTCTGGTTTTATGGCTGTTACAGTAGGAAGGTAAGACATTTAGCCATACTCTCTCATGGATAGAAGTAGAAGTCCCAATGTCTATCTTTGTTTCCTCAGAGGTTAGAGTAGTGCCTAGAACTAGGTGCCTGAGGTTACTTTAATGAGTACACAATCATTTTGTTATTTGACCTGGCCAAGGGAACATGGCAGAGCAAAATGTAGACCTCACTGTATTGGTCTGGATTCTTCTATGCTGTGGAGTATTAAGTGGGGCTTCTTTTTCTTTTCTTATGGTTCTGAATGAGGGCTCAAGGTTCATCCAATGTTTTTGTTGAAAGAAAGCTTAAGTTCCCCATAAATGACTTTTTCTTCCTTCCTTTATGAACTTGACACCCATACTTGTTTTGAAACCACGTTTAACCTTTTGGAATTCACTTTGAAGAACCACGCGGGAAACACAGGGAAATGTCCAGGATTTTTCAGTACTATCTTCTTAGTTTCCTTCTTCATTTGACAAAGCCACAGAACACTACTTAGAGGATCTAGCTGATGAACTCAGGAGTTGCCTTCCTGTTTTCTTGAATAATCTCAATAATTAACCTGGTCCTCCAGGGGCAATATTTTTTTTTAAGCGTACATTCTCTCTGCTTGCTGCTGAAATATTTATTTTCATTTTTATTTATTTTTTGGTACTGGGGATCAAACTCAGGACCTTGCGCTTGCCAGGCAGGTGCAGCACCACTGAGCTACATCCTAGGCCCTCATTATTGATTTTTATTTAACCCATCTTCTGGGAGTTGGCTGCTGTGGGCAGTGGGGTTTGAAGAATGTGTCAAGGTCAAAAGTGTGAGCTAGAAAGCCCCTGAAAAGCTGAGTTCTACTGCTTATGAGATCTATAGCACTGGGTAGTTTTCATAAGCTCTCTGAGCCTCAGTTTCTTTACGTGTAAAGTAGGGATAATAATACCTACCTTTTGGTAAGGTTAAATTCATGAACAAGGGTGAAGCATCTAGTGTTGTACCTGAGGTACCCAGTAGTGACTATTCTTTTCTTTCCCTTTTCCTTCTTGACATGCTGTCTCTCTCTTTCATAAGGAAAGCCCAGGGCAGAGGGGAAAATATATTTAATAATGGCAGTAAATTGCATGGGTTTTGCAATCAATGCATCTTGGCTTCATAGCTCATGACCTTTGGGACTATGGAAAAGTCACACCACCTCAAGCCTCAGTTTATTCAGCTGTAAAATGGAAGTCATAATTCTTGATTGATTACATTATTAGGAGCTTGAATAAAAAATGGGTACATTAAATGTGGCCACCTAGGCTTACTTTATGACAGGTTCTCAGGGCTTCTCACTTCCCATTAGCTCTTGTCCAGTGCTCTGGGAGCAGCTGTGTGATGAGTCTCAGTTCCTCTCATTCTGAGTTCATTCTGACCCTATTCTCCTCCTCTGAGGAGCTAATGGGAGAAAGGATATGCCCTGGCAATCTTCCTTCTGATGTGAGATTGTGTTTTCCAGAGCAAGGGCAAAAACCAGGAGAGCTCCCTAGCACACAGTTGGGAATCATTCTAAAAACCAGCAGGGATTGCCATGGAGGATATCATGTCTCCCTGCAGGAGCTGCAAGAGAAACATTTCTTGTCTGAGAGCTCGAAGCAGCACAGTAGGGCTTCGTGAGCCGGTTCCCATCAAGCAGGTCGACAGAGTCCCAGGCATGATTATTTGCTTGGCCCAGGGACCGCTGGCTGCTGCCTAGTGCTGTGCCACCTTGGTCTTTGCCCCATAGGTCCTAGTAATCAGCAGTGCCCACAGAGTGAATCATGCTATCAGCCAGTGATTGCACTGTGAAGTCACAAGTCCAAATGTTAACTAAACAAAACACTGTGCAGAATGGACTTGGAGAAGCTTGCTCTGGGTCACTTGTGGAATGTATGCAGTCTTTTGGTTTTCTAATCTTCCCCCTTTATTTGTTTCCTTTATATCATTTATAATAACTTATCACATAGTAATTTCTTTATTGTCTCCCATCTTAATTGTTTTCTCAAAACTGAGACATAATACCTGATACCCACAACTCTAAGGATGAAAGGTTTATGTTGGCTCAGAGTTTGTAGAAGCTTCAGTCCATAGTCAGTTGGCTCCACGGCAGGGCATATGGCAGAGGAGAATTGCTCATGGCATGGCAGGGAGGAAGCAGAGAAAGAGATCAAGGGAGGAGGCGCCGGGGTGGGGGGGAATAGACCCTTCCAGGCCACGCCCCCACTGACTCACCTCCTCCAACCAGGTTTAATTTCCCAGCATCACATTCAGCTATAAACTCATCAGTGGACTAATCTCCTGAGGGCTATCATGGCCCAGTGATCTAATCACATCCTAAAAGCCCACCTAGGAGCACGTGAGGCTTTGGGGGGACATCTAGATATAAACCATAACAGTTCCCCACTCCAACTTCAACCCAATAGCACAGAATGGTAAAGGGCCCAGTAGCCGTATCTCTTTTATCCACGGCACCTGGCAGGGCTTGACACACTGAGAATACTTATTAAATATTTCTTGAGTGAATGAATAACCAGTCCTCAAACTATTATTTAGCATTTTATTATAATTTTATAATATCCATTATTTGGTGTTGCTTCATTACATAGAGAAGAGAAGAAATTCAGAGAACAGAATTTCTAGGCCATTTCCTGATAGGCTGATAACTGCTTTTTATTGAGCATGGATTAGGAACCCTGCCAGCACCAAGGTCATGCACCACCAGGGGTGTTATCTCATTTTATCCTCTCAAGGGCACTGTGAAGCATGTGCTTTAATGTTGCCATTTTGCAGATAAGGAAAGTGAGGCTCAGGTAGACTAAGTCAGCTGCCTGAGGTCTCATACTTGGAACATGGAGGAACAGAGAACATAATGCAGGTATGTCCAGCTTCACAACTGTGTCCTGTCCCGCAGATTCCAGTGCCTTGAAACTCTGGTTCTTTTTTTTTTTTTGTAGTATGGGGATCGAACTCAGGACCTTGCGCTTGCGAGGCAGGGATGGTGCCACTGAGCCAAATCTCCGGTGAAACTCTGGTTCTTGACTCCAGCAATACACCGGAACTAGCTGTTTTTTATTTATTTTTTATTTTTTTTAACCTTTGGCTTTAGCACTATAGATTCTGATTTAATTATTTAATTAGTCTAGGATTTTTACTCTCTGCCTACTCCCAAATTAAGAGCTGTAGCTCTGAAAGGCAAAGAGATGGACATGGAGCCAGTCAAGAACCTTTCTTTGGTGGGACTTGCAGGCAGAGCTCCCTGAAAAAGGACTGGATGATAGTGTATCATGGTCCTCTGGGACAAATGCACAGCCTGGAGAGAAGAGGGCTCTTGTAAGATATCCCCTTAAAAAGCAACATGTGTCTTACTCATCTGGAGTATGAGGACAATGATAATTCTGGTACAGTGTAGCTGTAGAATTTTAGGGCTGGAAGTGAGTTTGGAGTTTGCCACTGAGGCCCAAAGAAGTTAGATGTCTTATCCAATGCTACACAGTGAAGACGTGGGCAAAGCTGAGAGGCAGAACAAGGCAGTGGGTGAGGGCCTGGGGGTTACACTGACTGATGGCTCCAAATCTATCTAGAGCAATCTTCCTGGCTATGTGGTCTTAAACAGCATAGTCAGAGGGGCCTGGTGGGCAGAGTAGGGAATGAGGAACACTGTCAACAAGAAACAATATGAGCAGAGCCTGAAATTTACATCTGCACTCCTGTTATCTTTCTCTTTCCTGCACCTGAGAGGTGAAAAGTCCCCATGTGCTTGTTGGAGAGCTTTGCAGTGTAAGGTTCATGGGGGATTTTGCTTTCTTTTGGAGAAAGCCTATGACTCCTCCCACATACTTAAAAAAGGGAAGTTCCTTTGAAACTCAAGTATTATAGACAGAGAGTTGTTGAGATCTCTTTCTGATCAGAGCAGAAAACTGGAACCTATACACATATTTGACCAAAGTCTTCCCCGTTTGAAAGCTGGCAAATGTGGGTATAAAACATGAATCTTGACTCTTGACCCACTGTATCTTCTAAAATTTGATCATGAGATGTGATTATTCTTATTGCTTATTATTGTGATGTTGCATGACAGGGTGGGTGGTTAGAGGCAATATAAATAGGAGTGGTAGTCAAAATACCTAACAGCTAGTGTGGACTAAATATCAGTCAATTAGAATCAGGTCTATGGAATCAGAACATACACCACCTGTGTCTCGACTGGATGTTAACAGGACTTTAACTGGACACCGGACATCCTCTGTGGACAACTGCACTGGCATTAGGAGAGACAGTGGAATAGTTTTGTCTCTTTGCTCCCTAGTTCCCAGGGATGGAGCTTACTTCTGAGAATTGATTAAAAAATTTGTTTTTGATGACCTAGATTAGACTTCTATCAATATTTTTCATCTGGAAAACTGACATAATGATTTTGACAGATATATAATTTTTAATAAATTTAGGGCAAACAATTCCTTTCTTCCTACAAGTATAAATAATATTTTGTTCTTGTCACTCCCAGGTGTGGGTACAAGCTAATATGAACAGTGAATTTCAGAAAGCCATCAATATATTCTCCGGTTCCCCACTGGGAAGGAAAAATTTTGAGGCTGATATTGTAGAGGTAAATCTTTTTCTATTTCCTGTAATGTTTTAGAGGGAAGCTTCACTCCCTTTCTGATTCTATCTATAGCTATTAGGTTCAAACAAATGAAATTTCTGAAATGTTATGATTTTGACCCTCAGATGGGAAAATTTAATATGACTCAAACTGATATCGACAGAACACCAGTGTAGCTCCAACTCCAGCTCTACACAGTGGAAAGAAATGGGTATGTTGAATCCCTTTGATTTCTGCTGACAGCTTTTTTAAACAAAGCAGCAGATTGAGTGTCAGAGACACACCTGGACCCAATTCTGGTTCCATCTAGTACTTGAGCACTCACTTTGGCTTTTTGTTCTCTTTTTCAGGATTGTTCCTTATGAGATTAAGCCACTGAACTATAGTCTCCTAATTCATACAAGGAGTCCAATAAATTATCTCCTGCTCTCTCTTCCCATCAGCTGACCAGAGTGGTATAACCTGTGGTGTTTCACAATCAATTTTTAAAAATAGGTTTATTATAACCTGTGAAAATCAGTTGCATTCAAGAATATGGAGCACTAGATGTACTTTTAAAATTCCAAGAGGTTTCCCTTAGGTCCTAACAGAAAATAAATGCAGAGATTAACAGAAAGAATTGACTTAATTGCCAAAATCTGTTAGCCTTCAGCGCCAGTTTATTAAGTTACATCTATGAAATACATTAACATATAAAACCTTTCATTTACAGAGATTGGAATTCATGTGGTAGTGCCCGTAGACGTGGGACGCATACCAGTTAATTACATACCCGACAACATACAATATGCATTTTACCTTGGGGTTGTGGCGTTTTAACATAAAACAAAATCAATAAAAGCACATGGGGCTTACCACTAAAATCACATAAACACCTTCATTTGTTCAATCTATATACCCCCGAAACAAAGAGGGGAAAAATATTTTAATGACTTTAAAAATAAAATCATTTAAATTCAGCTACTCTGAATTACATATCCCCTTCTTCCCGCATACATATTGGGAGAGCCAGACTTGCCTGTCACTGTTCCTCTCAGCTGGCCAGCATCTAGGTGAGTGCTGTTATGTGACAGCTACTCCAAAACAGGTTGAGAGACTGCTGGGCGTGGTGTCAGAGGATGGGAACTCTAGATTCAGTACTCCAACTAGCTACTGTCTGGCCTTGGGCCACTTATGTCATCTTTCTCAGCCTGATTTTCTTCATCTTTGAAGTGATGTAACTTGGAAGAGATAAACTCTGTAGATTATGTCAGCTCTCGAATCCCATGACTTTTCTCTATTGGCCAAGATCTCAGAGTCACTTTGTGTGAACAAGTGAGAAATGACAGCTGCTTATAGACTGGGAACCACTGAGCCCTTGTCAAGGCTGCCAGGCTCTTCAAAAGCAAATAGAATGCACACAAGTCACGTAAAAGATGGTTACACAGTCACAGATTTGGAAAAGACCTCAGAAATCCTTTGGCTCAGTCACTTCTGCCACCTAAATGAAAGAATGGCTTCTACAAACTCTTGTTGATAAGCCCTTGGCTTGAATATCTCCTATGCCTGAGAAATCACTACCTGGAAAGCTTCTATGTGGGAGGAGAAAATCATATGGGTATGAGGCCAAAGAGGCTGGTCCTGGATCCAAAGCTTTTCATTCCCATCTCTTTCCTCTGGGGATACATGGGCAACATCTGTTCTCCCTTCTATATTGCCCCCTGGTATTAGAGGATATTTCTGTCTTTCTTTAATTTTTTGTCTTATTGCATTGGATGGTATTTGTCAAGAATAGAGGAGAATTGAACTAGTCTGGGATTATGAGTTAGGAAGACAGAAATCCAGTTTTAGATCTGCCATCAACCCATTGTGTGGTACAGGACAAGTAACTTCTATTCAGGCTGATATAGTATTTTCTTGTTAAAATAGGGTTATGGAAGAGATGGAAGCAAGTGAATCTCAGAGCTTGGGAAGTGGTGAACAAGGTTATTAGGGTGGGGCCAGGCATGAATGTGTTTGTTCTGAATTACACTCTTACCACTGGTACAAAATGATTCTAGAGTTAAGAGTTCACTGAATTTTCCAAAGGCATAGTTTCCAATATGATACAATGGTATTAATATCCAGGATAATAATGTACACTTAAAGAAAATTCTGCTGAAAATGGAAAAACGATTCCAGCACTTCAGCTTTAAAAGAGCAGGAAATTTGAAGGCAAAAGACATCTGCATGTGTTTTGCAAGGCCCACAGTATAAATAGACCTGTCCTAAAAATTAATCCCCAATGTCACAATCATGGAAACAGGATTGAGTAAGCACTTGAGAAAATACCTTCCAAGAGAATGCTGGCAAAAGCCATGCCTTGTGCATAGTAGGCTAGTTGAACTTTTATCATCCAGAGGGATTATTGACAAGCATAGAGTTGGAATTTCCTCCTGGGTGACATAACTTAGATTGAAATGAAGCCAGGGGTTCTGGAATGCCCTGTTATTGAATTGAACCTGAGATGTTTCAGGAAATGAAAAGATACACTTTTTTTCCCTGTTGTACTTTAGTTAAAAAAAAACAAACTAGAAATTTTAGTAACCTACCGATTCTCTTCTCCCACATAGATCTGAAGCATGCTAAGATCAAAACGTGAGTGACCCATGAATTTTGATCACGTTTTTCGTATTGCTGACAAACATATTTCAAGGTCTCTTGGGTCATCCAAAAAGTTCAAATCTTTTTAAGAATGTTGAAAACCAAACTGGAGACTAGCAAATAACCTCTTGATACTTGTAGTTTAAAGAATGGGTTCCACCATAGGACAGTATCTTTGCTTCTTTTCCCTTATTTACTTCTGAAAAACTGTCCTTGAGTAGCTATTAAACAAAAACACTTAGAGTAAATACACATCACTTTGTTAATGGTACTCCTTCATCAAGTGACACTCGTTTTCACAGTAATAGAACACCCAGGTGCCTCAAGTTAGCTAATGGATTACCTAACACAAACAAAATAAATTAAAAGATCTGGAGACAATGGAGATGCTGAGCAGTTAGAAAGAACAAGTCTAGACTAAGATAATTTACTTCTGTGTCCCCAGGGTGATTAGGTAGTCAGTAAATGTTTGTGGAATTGATCTGAGTTCAGCTTTTTGAGAGACATTTAGCCAGCAAAGCATTTCCCCTTCTAGATTAGGTATTTTTTTAAGGCATGTTCCCTTTCTCCCAAATCCTCAAATACTTCTCATTAGCCCCTAATGATTAGGGGATCATCACATGTTCTTAAAAAGCATTTTTCCACCTTGCTTTCAAAGAGTGCAGTAATGTCCGCTATGGAGGTACTGCCTTCGAGACAGAAGCTCTGACTTGAGTTCTTTTAGGAATGTTTGGCTGTACCTTTTTATACAGAAAAAGATACATTGTTTAAGATTTTAACAAAACCAACAATAAAGACTTGAGCTACATTTTTCAACAAAATAAAGACATCCTAAAGATTTTCCCAATGCCTTCAATGTCTTAGGATATGAGGACATTTCTGTGTTGGATGAACTTCCAAATCCACCAGATCCCCTGTGGGCAGGTTTGAAGGCCATTGGGATAGGCCTCCTTTTAGTGGAGAAAGTGAAAATCCAGCCTCTTCTGTGCAAATCCTTTCCTGTAAGTCTAAGTTGCTTGATGCTCTCATGCACCCTGGAGACAAGTGCAGACAGGACATTTTAATTCCCTTAATGGGATATTAATTTTGATCTTGGAGCCAGGCTAGAGAATGATGTAGCATTCTGAGTTTACCAATACATATTTTTCTCAGGGTGGGTTGAGGGCACATTCTCTTGTCAAGCTAGTTTTGGAGTTAGTGAGAAACCTCTCTTTTCTGCTTTAAGCAAAGGGTAATTCCTCCTTTTGAGATACCCTTTCCCCGTGATCATCTTGGGGCTGCCCACCTTCTTTCAGGCTTCACTTCCTCTATGAAGACTCTGGAGAGCCACGTGGAGGTGACCGCACCCTTCCCTGGGCGCTTATCGAGTGTTGTGCTGTTTTGGGAGGCTGAAGGTAAGGAGCTATTTTCTAACCTAGCAGAGGTCAGAAAATACACTGAGAGTCTCACCCTCTCCACTGAGGAACCTGAAATTAACTTGTCTTAATTGATAGTCAACAAGTATTGATCAAGGACTACTACTACTCCTCAATCAGTCACTATGTTCAGGAATCACAGCACACGTCTCTCTGCCTCTGTAAGTTTCCTGGCAACCAGAGTAAGAGTGATTAAAGGACCAGGTTCACTCTCAGACCCATCTGTAAGGTCTTCCATGCTAGGGAGCATTTATGATAGAGAAGAAGGTACTGGAGGTACTTGGCTATATCACACTCAACTGCTCTCAGACTACACAGAATGCAGAAAGTTAACTTGTTTCATTCCAATGAGCTCATTTGATCCCAGGAATCAAATTGTCGGATTCTTGCTTTACAAACCAGTCAATAGAGGCTAAGGAGAGCAGAACCAGCCCTCCTGCCCTTGATACAGTGGTGCAGGAAAATCAATCTGACCAGAAGACATGAGCCCTCTATAGCACAGTGTCCAGCCTCTCTTCTCAGGAGAAGAACTTGACTGGGATAATTAGCAAATCTACATTCAAATCCCTTTGGATATTTTAAGGGAAAAATACTTGCAAAACACTCAGAATATAAAGTTGCAAATTAAACTTCAAAGCAGACCTATGGAAACTTCTCCAGGTTTGATGATTGACATCTTTTTCCTCTCCAGAGAGTAAGTCCGTGGTTTCTTGTTCAGTTGGTCTGCTTCACTAGAAATGTGTTTTGTGAGTGACCTGTTGGACAGCTTTCCCAGGACAGTGCCAGAAATAACAGTTTTAGATGATAATGTTTTTCAGACTTGAAGTTGTTCTTTGGAGAACATAAGTTGATTGATGTTTAACCAGGAAGCATCAGTGGTTTTTCTAGAAGCTTTGTGTAGAATCTGTCTTGCTCTTCAGTGTCCTCTGGGTTGAACTAGTGTCCAGAATAAGTACCCAAGAAAGCTGTGTTGAATATATGCTATTGCTGTATTTTTGATATGCATGTGGAACTCATGCTTGCTTATTTTGACACCTGTGTACATAATCAAAGGAAAGGTAGCTTTTCTCATAGGCAATATATGGCGTGAAAATCAATTCCTTTTTTGGAGAACATTCATGAAAAGTATCAGCTCTTTTCATTTTTTTAGGCTAGGCTTGAAAGTACATGGAAATACTGATAAAAGATTTTTGCCTCCAGAGGGTTTAAACTATTTTCTTGGACTTTCTGTGGATGCTGTTCAAAGCTTCTGCACAGAAGCAAATTTATGATCAAATTGAATAATAACTGGACTACTGGTGACAAGAGTGTGACAGGAAGGTGTGGGAATATTCTCCTTCAAATCTTGACCTGAGTAGATCATGCATTCACTTGGCAATCATTGTTTAGAGACTCAACACAATACTCTGCCTCTTCTCTTCTGCTTTTTTTCTCAATTAGTATTCTCATCAGGAAAGCATATACAGTGTAAGTCTAAGGGCTATAAATTTCATAGCTAAACCACTCTCCCTGTGGAATACCCCATCCCTGACCCAGAACACTCTTGGCTATAATTGCATATGAATGAAGAGAACGGGGAACCTGGAGGCATGGCTCCTTCATGCAGTAATGTCTGCTTTGCTCCTATAGCAAGAAGGCTCCAAAGAAGGTTTTGTCTTCTTTTGTGTAATCCACCAAAGAGATGTCACTGACATTCACCATCAGCTTGTCCCCTTCCTGCAAGGAGAACATGGCTCCAAGGTACAGGGGCTGGAACCAATTGCTGCTTATTTCACACACTGACTTGGTCCCTGTTAGGAGCTGGGCGGGCTCGGGGTAGCTGTCTGTTACCTTGGTAATGACCACAATGATGGAGTCTGGCTTGTTCTGTTGTCTTCCTGGGCTGATGTTACCACATTCAGAAGTGGTTCCTCGAAAAGTGATCTGGGAGTAAACAAAGTAGTCTCCTGACTCTGGGACGACCAGGAATTTGTTGGTGTAGTTCATCCGGTTCTTGGTGAAGGCCAAGCCTAGTTCATGTTCCCAGTTCAGGGTTGGGAACTGATTTTTCAGGTGCTGTGTAGGAGTTTGTCTCACAACTGCCAATGCAAGAGAGAGGTTTAATGAGCTAAAGTCAGAACCTTTGCATTTTGCTAAAAAGAGTCTTGTGGCAATCTCAAAGGAGAGTAAAAAGATTAAATATGACCAATAGCTAACAGGCGATTGGGGAGGAATGAGGGAAGGGGATTCGTATGTTTGCTTGAAGAGAATGAAAGGCATGTTGTGCAACTGTCCTGGGGAAAATGACTTTGCCTCTCTGAGGCTGAATTTCTGACCTGACAATTTTGAATTTTGCCTGAGTCTTGTGATCCTGGAAAGAATAAAAGTTAAGAATTCCCACCAGTCGTCTGTGTTCTAGAAACTGACTTACTGCCCAGATTGGTTTCTCTACGTAACTTAGATTAGCTCATGGACGTCCCCTTTGGTTTTTTTTTTTTTTTTGGTACCGGGGATTGAAGTCTGGTCCTTACGCTTGTGCAGCAGGTGGTGCAACCACTGAGCTAAATCCCCGGCCCCCCCTTTGTTTTTGATGATAAGGTGGGGTGCCCCCAGCTCCATTTGTCGCTGCATGCATGATGAGCCTGACTATTCTATCTTCATTGACCAACTGGAACATAATGCTTGTTAACTAAAACTTGGTGAAGCCTCTTTCCTTCTTCCAGGCTCTGGACTTTGTCTGACCCTCAGTGTGAGCAGCCTACAGCCCCTCTCTAGGCTGGGCCAGCCTCAGAATCAAACTTTCTCTGACCCAATCCTGCCACCTTTCATTCCATGTCCCCTCACCTGGTTCTCTCTAGCTTTGTTTACCACTCTCTTTACACTACTCTCTTTATACATATGAAAACCCTTTGGAGTCCACCTTTTGAGTGTGAGGTTGACTTTAGTTTCAGAGTGTTCTTCCTAGTGCTATAGTCCCCTCTCCTATCACAGCACAGCCTGCTCTCCCTAGTCTTGATTCCTCACCTACACATTCAACTGACCTAGGATGGAAAACACTGGGAAAAAAATCTGTGTCTGTATTGAGGGTGAACAGCCTTTTTTCTTTTCATTATTACCTAAACAATACAGTATAACAACCATTTTCATGGCATTTATACTTCATTAGGTAGTAAACATCATCTAGAGTCATTTAAGATATAAGGGAAGATGCAGATCAATTATATGTAAATACTAAGTCATTTTACATAAAGAACTTGAACATCCTAGGTGTGGGTGTCTGCAGGGGCCGTGGAACCAATTCTCCATGGGTACCAACATAAGTATAATCTCTTCCATCCTCTGCCCTCCCCTCCTTCTTAGCAATAATCCTTTTGCACAGGGTCTTTATTTACTAAGTCTGTGTTTGTTCTTTATTTGATATGTCTGGCTGTGGCATTAGGGTGCAGTTCAACTTGGTTGGCTTTGGGACCAACTCTAGGAATTGGAGAAGCACACTTCTAGGTGTGTCTGGGTGGGTCATGGAAATGTGGCTTTGGGATCTATATCTGGTTCCTTGCTCTTTCTGCTCTAGCACTGTTCCTCTGCTCTTCTTCCTGTCTACCACAAAGAATGCAAATCTGTTCCACCTCACCCTTCTGCCATGATGTTTTTGCCTTGGAGCCTAATGACTGTCGATTGAATTCTTTGTGACCATGAGACAAATTAAACCTTTCCTCCTTTAAGTTGTGAGTGGTGGGTATTTTGTCTCAGGGCCAAGAATGATGATTAATACACTTTCCTTAGGAAAAATCAGAGATAATAATACTCATGGAAAAGACTAGAAGATGTGGTATGTGTAAAATCCTTGGCTACTACGAATATCTTTTAAATTACATTCACTTCTACTAGCTTTCTTGTTTCAGACATACTGTAGTCCAAAGAAGACATTTCAGAGAGAGTGAGATGTTCCCTGTCACCACATTCCAATGGTGTGATCCAAACACATGCAGCGATTAATGAAGAATTAACTGGCAGAACATGTTGGAAGCAGAGACTTAGAACATTTTGGAAATTCTTCTTCCACATTCACAGGGCCAAACTACTGTGTAAGTCAATGCAACTGACTTGTGGAATGGGGACGGGATCTGGGCTTTGGGCCACTTGGGCCAACTGCCAACTCTGATTCTGCAACTGCGTAGGTTCATTCTCTTCTCTGAACCCCAGTCTCCTGTCTGTAAGGAGGCAATGAAGCTCTTTCAGAGTCTGATTCTCAAGAGAAAGTGAATGTAACAGACATGGAGATTTGTATCACAATGGCTGGATATAGTTGTATTAAAATTTTCCCCAAATAAATCAGCATCTTTCATTTTGACAAATTAAAAAAACAAGCCTATTTTATTTTATATCTTTTCCTATGCGCCTATGTTTGCATACTCATAATCATATCTTATACGGAACATATTAATGAATGCTTTTGTGAAATGTCTTAGCAGAAGAAAATGAATATAATCAAATTCGATTCAAACCATTAATTTCAAATAAGATAATCTGCAATGAAATGAATAGTTTTCAGAAGAAATAAAAACAACTTGATTTTCTACAACTACTTTTGAAACCCACAGCCATCTTATGATGTGCCAATGCCATAGTTTTGGGATAGGTTATATCTTAAGTAACCATTCAGCAACTGCATACCCAGTAAGTGACCTGAAATCTAGGTCCTGGATTTTCTAAAGAGTCTTTCCCATTGCTGGCTGGACAAGGGTTTCTTTTGCAAGTATAACATTTGTCCCAAATGTATGTGGACTCTTCTGGCTCCCATACTAAGTGACCTCTAGAAAGCTTTGGTGCCATTTTGCAAACTCAATATAAATATTTTTTATTAATGCCCTTTGATTTTTATTAGTGTTAGTCCTTCTTTCTGGATGATGAAGTAATTTTTAAAAAATCTTCAAATGATTCAAAAACAAAATTTATGTTGCCAGACAAGGGAAGCTCTATCGTGCAGTTAGTTACATCAACACAGCAGTAACCAGGAGTAGACAGGAAGTATGTTGCAATGAAAATGGCAGTTTCCAAGAGGCAAACTTGAACTCTTCCACTTCCTAATTATCTGACTCAGGACACACAAATTCAGTTACCCAAACCTCAGTTTCCCCATCTGTGAGTGAGAACAACTATTCCTTATTTCATTGGTCTGATATGTAGATTAAATGATATAATAGAAATAAAATGCTTACTATAGTGCTTGACACTATTAGGACCTCAGCAGTAGATGGATTTCCTCCCCAGTTTCTGTCTCTTGTTCTTAGGAAGAGGGGTGATATCTCCATACTCAGGTGGTTTTTAGGATTTTCCTCCCTGTCCTGTTCAATTTCTCCCATTCTAGACAAGGGGAAGTGATAACAACTTGGCATCTTCCTGGTCTTAAAGTTGACTCAGGACTCACTGTAAACAATCCAAACAATTCTCTCTTGGTTAGATACTAATACAAATATTTTGGGCTCCAAGGATATTCTCCTGCTTGCTTTTAAACTCTTTAGTTTCTCAGTGAGTTTTAAACACACACTTTTGCCTTTGTCTTGCTCTGTTGTCTGGAGTATCAGATGTCTGTGAACTCCAGGTGTTAGATACCTGGAATTTCCACATAAGACCTGGGAAACTAGTGACACTGAGAGATTCCTCTTAATATCTTCACAGTGGAAATTCTTTAGAAACACCTTCCTGAAAGCAAATGTCCAATGACATCATCTTCATTTGGGCCCCGATGGACTGGACAAATTGGCAACACAGGGGAATTTACATCTGTGACCAGATCCAGAATTACCTGAAGCTCACAGGCTGAGCTTTCAGGACCACAGCCAATGAATGGTCTCCTAGATAACACTGCCAGGCTTACCTGTCAGGTGTGCCCTCGGCTTATCTCTGTCATCCCTGAGTGGCATGTCTGTAAGAAAGGAGAAATGAGCTTGCATGAGCCAAAGGCTGGGTGGATGAGGACAGCACGTGGGAATTGCCTGGCACCTGTGATGGGAAGCAAACATTGATCTCTAGTTTGGTTCAGTTTCACTCCTTAGTGTTTTGGGTTGACATGTGGTGCCTGTAGCAAGCACCACTGGGGACAAGGGCAACTCCAGAGAAAGAATCTTGAGTGCAAATGAGCCTTTGCCCCTAACTTGGGGTAAGTTATGCAGCCTGAGAGTCTGTTTCATCATCTCTAAGATGGGCACAACAATCTCAGCATGACTGGAGAATGTTCAACATGACTCTTGTGCATAGTCAGTGCTCAGTGAGGAACAGCTGCTCCTTTGCTCAAGCTACTCCCATGAAAGCTAGTTGGCCTTTGCCTTCCTCCTGGTCCCTTTATTTATGTTTACTAAGAAGTATGGAGAAATGGGATGGGGAGTGGGTGGGATCATTCTGGAGCTATATTAACTTGACAGGTCTTTCTGGGCCTTTCTTCCTCCATTGGTTCTTGAGATACCTTAGAATTTCCCGTTGGTTCTCAAAGATGATTATATTGAATTAAGTGTGTTCTAACTGCAGTGATGAAGATAATGTTTATTGTTGATAATCCATTAAAACCCCCCCAAATCTATTGTGTACTTCTGATGTGTTAGGCATTGTTTTCATCCTTTTATGGGAATTAACTAATTTAATTCACAGTGACTCTGTCAAGGGAGTACTATTATAACCATTTTTAGAGGTGACTAACAGGAGATAGAGACAGGTAAGTCATTTTTCCACAGGTCACATTGCTAGTAAATTCCAGAGCATCAGAGCCAGGCCATGCACTTGGCCATGGCCTCCTTTATCTTCTTTGTGATGAAGGAGGAGCCTTAAATGTTCCTCTAAGTTTATGTCCCAAGCTTGAGGGACATAGAAGCCCATCTCCAAAACTCCTACATACCAAAACTATTAGAAATGGTCTTGTCCCTCACAATAAAAGCATCAAAGATAAACACACTTACATGCTCGCTGATGTGAAGGCCCAAACCTCTGTCCTTTTACAGCCTGTTGAGGAAAAAAAAGATATGGTTCAGACCACCTGTGGTGCCCCAAGTAGCTGCCCAGCTGCTTATAACGCAGGTAAGATTGAGATGGTGCTGCTGCTGGCCTGAGTCCTCTGCCATGAGTGCAGTAGCATGAGAATATTTTGGTCAATGAGACTCTTGCACCCCGGCTCCCCATGTTCTTCTAGGACTCCCTGACCCCAGCCTTTCTGTCTCCGATGCTTGTTTCTGGATCTGAGCTTTGAAGTTCTGTCCTGAGTGCTGTTCCTCTTCTATTTGAGGGGACCTCAGTGAATTGTCATTGCTTATTTGAACAAATAATGATACTTGCTGTATTTTCTTTTTGACATTAAAATTTGAAAATTGGAATGATTCTTAAAAAATAAGAAAAAGAAATAATGACCATGTTCCCCTTGTCATCAACCTCACCACAATTTTGCCCCATCTCTGTGAATATATGAGGGAATATTCATTATTGTAATCCCAGCTGGTGAGTCATTTCAGATACCATTCCACAGTACAGTAGAAAAGTAACTTTCTTGATGGCAGACAGACCCTCACTGAACTGTGGTTCCATCATTTATGAACAATATGATTTTGAGAAAGACACTCTGAGAAAGACTCTCTGAGCTTTGGTGTCCCCATTTGTAAAATGAGAAATAATAATCCTAGCCCTAAATGATCTGTAGGGTTAAATCAGAAATTGGATGAGTCAGTGCAAATAACACTTGGAAAATGAGAGAACCACCATTCATGAAGCTTGGGGGAAAAAAAAACCCATGCTCTTATCTTAGGATAATATCACCTACTTACATTTTACAAGGGTTTTGTAAAAAACTTTCTCTAATATGATTTTGACTCAATCCAGTCTTCAGAATTGGTTCTTGTAATTAATTACACAGCTCCCACTAACAGGTGACCCTCCTGCCACCATGAACACTTGATCTATTTTATATTATATGTGTATGCGGTGTGTTTGTGAGTGAGATTGTGTGTCTGGGTTCGTGTGAGGGAGTAGACTCAGCAGAAAAGGGTGTAAATAGTGTCTGTGTCTGTGTGGTGTGATGTTGTGTGCAGGGATGGCCCTGGGCAGTCACGTGGATGTCACTTGTATGCCCCTATTGAGTCCAGCTCTGTGAGCAGGTCTGTGATCACGGTAATCCCGTAGCATCCACACCTCACACTCTTTTTGCTCTCGGGCTTCCTGTCTTGACCTCTGCTGGAAGCTCTTTTGTGGGTGGAAATCAAACCTTGCCTTTGAATGATTAATTGACTGCATTGTTTCTTCAGGTCACTTCCACGTGCTTCCAAAATCTGTCACTGCCATCGCTTTCCTTTAGTTCCCAGACCTGAAACATGATTCTTTCTTCGTCCACAAACTCCAGGTTTGTCATTTCTCTTTTACAGTGCTCTCACTTTTGCATCCACGCCAGGCCTTGCCCACTGCTCTCCTGGATTCTGTTAACAGCTTCCCACAGGTCTCCATGCCTCTGGCCCCTTCCTTTCTCTCATCTATCTCCTACCTTCTTCTGAGTACTTTTTCTAAAGCATCACTTTATCAAGACACCTCTCTGCTCATAGGCCTTCAGTAGCTCCCATGGCCTTCATGCCACAGACCTATCTTGTCTTGACATTCAAAGTCCCAATTTACCACCTCAGTTTCTTACCCAGTATTCACCCCTCTCAGAGCCTCTGTTTCCCAGCCATAACAGGCAACCACAGTGCATGATTCACCAGACTTAAAAATGCAGAAAGTGTAGCTACTATTTAATGAATGAGTAGTGACACTGCTATGCTAAGACTTTCATAGGCATCATCTCCTTCAGCTTCAGGACAACATGTAAGGGAGTGCTATTCATATTTCTGTACTGACAATGGGGCTCAGGGCAGATAAACAACTGCTTAATACCCTGGCAAGTGGAGGAGTAGGATTTTTTTTCCCCATTAACTTTATTGGTACATTTTAGGTATAAAATACAGTTACATTCATCATTGGGATCTTGTACCATTACATGAGTATCTTGGTTCTTATTTTTTTTCCCATTCCCTTGCCCTCCCTTCACCCCCTCCACCCTTTCTTATTTGTAAAGACCTTGTTTCCATTTTTTTTCCTCTTCTCATATTTTTTCCTTTCCCTTTTTTCCCTTCCCCTACCCCTCCCAATTACCCTGCTCTTTTAGACCTTTTCTTCCTGTTACACGATATCAGTTATACATTTTTAAAATTACAATATTAAGATCTAGGAGACATTCCCACAGATTTTACAGAATTTAAAAGGATATAGAAAGCATACTACAAAAATCTTTTTTGAAATAAATTTGACAACTTCTAAGAAGTACCTTGGAAGACAAATTAATGAAACTAACTCTGGAGGAGATATAAAATTGAATAGCTAGTAAAGAAAGTATATTCCTAGCTTGAAAAACCTACCTATATGACAACAGCAGGCTCATATACATTTTAACTGTTAAATTATATCAAACAAAGCAGAAAAAAGAAGGAACACTTCTACCCTCATTTTAGGAACTCAACATTGTGCTAATCCTAAAACTGGATAAAGATAATAGAAGAAAAATGTATGAACATAGATAGAAATTTATTTAACAAAACAAACTATTAGAAGTCAGATGTGGCAGGATGTAGAAAGTGGTTTTGTTATAGGGATGGTAGTGTTGGTTCAGCATTGGAAGATCCACCCCCAAAAGTCATCATTTTAACAGAGGAAAGGAAAAAGCCATATGATCCTGTCACTAGTTGGAGAAAAAGTATTGGACTAAATTCTACAGCTGTTCATGGTAAAAGCTATCAGGAGACTAGAAGTAGAACAGAACCTTCTCAACAGATTAAAGACATGTAAGAAGAGTAGGATTTTAACTCAGATCAGGTGAGTACAGAATCCCAAGCTCTAAGCCACTGTGCCCTTCAGCTTTTGGACAAACTCCTCATCTGATGAGATAGAAGCTAAGTACCAGCAATTCCGTGCACTGTGATAGTAAGCCCAAAGTTCAGAAGAGAGAGACCTGGCCCAGAAGTGGGAGAATCCAGGGAAATTACCCTGAACTGAATCTTACATTTCCTGCAGATATTAGCCAAGTGATAAAAGAGGTAATGACTGTTCCAAACAAGGCCAACAGCTTGTGCAAGTGTGAGGAGGTCAACAGAGCATGGGGCAACTAGAAAACTGAAGCTTTCTGCTACCAAATGAGTTCATCATGTGCACTTAGTGTAGGGGCATGAGCACAGTGGTCTTTGAAATATCTAAACCTGTTTGTACCACATAGTAACAGCAACCCCTACGTGAGCTTACTCTCTCGCCTGTTGCCTGACTTACTTACAGAGCTGATGAAAGAATTAGCCCTTTGCTAAGGCAGAAAACTGAAGGTGGAGTTTTCAGAAAGAATTAAGGGGATCTCAACTGCATTCCCTGGTATAAGAAAGAGTTCCTTCTTGGCTGCCTTTCTTTGACTTCATTTAATTCTCTGTTGAGAATCTGAAATATCCTTGGCTAAGTAGACACTCAACTGTAAGTCCGGAGCATTCCTTTTTGACTGGGAATCTCATTGTCATTAGCATTGCTCTGTTGGATTCTATTACTTGGGCACACATTTTATTTTCATATTTGGATGGATGTGTGTGGATTTCAGTGTCCCAGAGTGCCACCAGACATCTGGAGGCTGCGCCAACGCCTGTTGGTGGATGATGAAAACCACAGCATCCCCAAAGTCTCTACAAAGAACATCAGTTGGGACTCCCTCTCCAAGACTTGTTGTTTTCCACTGCTGCTTCTTTTAATAGGACTCTTTCTGTCACGGGAGGAAGATTACTGTGACAGGAAGCAGGAAAGGAGGAGGAGGAGATTTGAGAAGATGACACAGTAGCTTATTTGCAGGAACTTTTATGTACTTCAACAGTTCCAGGTCTTACTCTTGAGATGCTTGCTGATAACACCAGGCAAATGAAATGTTTTATTGTCCTCCATCCCTGCCTCATCTCCATTACTTCTGGGTTATTCTCTGGGAGCAAGGTGATAGTGGTTTCTAGGGGTGGTGGTCAATATAATTTTTTTTTTTGGTACTGGGGATCGAACTCGGGTCCTTGTGCTTGCACAGCAGGCAGCGAAACCACTGAGCTAAATCCCCAGCCCCAGGTCAATGTAATATTGATATCCACATCTGAATAGGCATAGGACCCAGGAGCATTTCCAATAGAAGAATGAAGTTCACTCCACAGACATGCCTTCTCAAATCACTGGCTGAGAACCAGGATTCAGTTTTATTCCATTTTTGTGTGGTTATCACTGTTCTCTCTGTAGTGGAACTTACTGGGGGACTGGTCTGTCTGTTTTTTTCACCACTGTATTCCCAGGGTCTAGGACAGTGCCTGGCACTTTGGCTGGAGTACCCAATGGGCAAAATCTGCAGCTTCTCAAGCACCAGAAAGATAAAGGCAGAAAAGAGAGCAGGAGATGGGGTAAAGTATATGGTCAGTGACTTTGGTCTGAGTTTGCCAATCTAGAAATTTAGGGGAGATATTTTTATTTATATGAAGATATTTTAAGTACACAGAGGGGGTGAACATAATCTTTTGGTACTAGGCCTCCAAAGGCCTTCATCAGGCTTTGTGTGGAACATAATCATGGGTATTTATTGAGAGTTTCAAGGCCAGGCCAGGAGCCAAAGTCAGAAGAGACAAGTGTGTATACCCATGGGCATACATCTTAGTGGGATGATAAGATGTCTGTGACCACTGGTGTATGTTAGGCCTAGCAACACAAAGTGGGGCATCTTCTTCCCCACTCCCTTACTTCCTATAGGTCAGAGAACTTTCACTGTTATTTAATTTTCTTACTTTTTTTTTTTTCTGTTCACTGGTGATCCCTGACTCAAACTGACCATGTCCTCTTACTACAGGCATTTGTGAAATTACTCAATCCTTCAAACTGGAAAGAGGAAGAGGTGGACAGAAGGAGACAACTGCTATCTAGTTGAGTGCGTCCTGGTT